GATATGATATTGAATTATTGGCAATCGAATAGCGAGGATTTTATACGTTTAGAATATTCTTATACGTTAATGGGCACGAGAAGTATTATTGCTAATTAGCGAAATTTAAGAAATTACATGTCTCGTACGCAACTGGCAACGAAGTACTGATAGTGATATTTTTATTATACGACTTATTCTTTTGTTGTTAATTATGGTTAATGAGCTGTGTATATAACGTTGGGGAAAGATTCGGGAATTTGTGGGTTATCGTGGTTATAAAGCGAGAAAAAGAATGACGGTATACTGTTTGTATTATGTATTTTTATATTTGCCTCAGTCCGTTGACGACAGCCTAAAGCTGATACCTTGCGCTAGGAATTACGTAAAAATAAGGTTACGACTATCGCGGAATTTCATGCGAATTCTTCGGGACTAAATTATTCCCTGTTTTGCATTAGGGCACGCCGCGTACATTTGAGAAGTCCGGCAGAATTATTTACACGGTCCAGGGACTTTAGGAAAAATGATTTTGAGAGAATGAAAAAAATAAGAATGAAAAAAATTTGATTTGCGAAATCTATGGGATAAATTTGCAAAATTCCTTTTCTTTTTATTTTTTTAAATAGGATTTACTTTTCGTCTCGTCAGGTATACTTGGCAACGATATCAAAAATACCAGAAATTCTCCTCGCCGGTATCTCCGCTACAGTGAATTTTCAGTTAATGAAAATTTTCGTGAAATTTACGTAATATTACAAAATTCGAAGTATTTGTCGTTCGAGTGGCTGATAAATATTTTCAAATTTCAAATAATAGACCCGACTGGTGTCTATGTTTTGTCATACGCAATAAACACGTTGCCATGCTTGTCACAGTGATTACAAATTACCATTTTTTTCGACAGGTCATCTGGGGTCCGCGATTAACTTACGCGTTACGTGTAAACGATTGTGCGGACTTTATAATTAAATGATAGGCGGTTGTGTTTCGAGGAAAAAAAAAAAAAACAAAAAAAAATGACAAACACGTTATCCGCCTGGATACTAAGAAAGATATTAATCCTACGTATAAAATTTCGTTACACAGCATCCAATCGAGTACCAATCACGAGACCTATCTCCGGTCATAGATGAAAGGAGATAAACCAAAAACGAAGGAACGCACTGATGCAAATCCGTAAAGTTGCGACCACGGGACCGTCTAATTTTTATAACGAAAACCTCAAAAAAATTTTCTCTGCCTACCCCCCCTCCGCCCGCCGGTAACTCTCACAAAATCTTTGGTCACTGAAATCATTCTGTCAGAATGCGTTTTACAGCGAAGCGTGACGATCGCGTAACGTCTGACGTGTCTCGAAGGAAAATCAAAAAAAGAAAAATTAAAAATTTAATCCACGGTACATATATGCGCACACGTGATAAATGAACGGCACCTTGAGAAAACCAATAGCCAAAATCCCATTTGGGCAATTTCGCATATCGAAATGCAGAATGGACGTTGGGTCGTTGACATCAACCAAAAATTCAAGTGGGTCCGGATGAAAAATCATGCCGAGCTACCATTAGCGAGTGTATTGAATATTTTTATGGTGCTTTTATGAGACGGCAGAGTTAAAAGGAGGGGGGGAGAAAAAATTATACGAGCGCCCTTTGAAAATTTTACAAAAAAAAAAAAAAAAAAAAAAAAAAAAAAAAGAAAAAAAAAGTGCCGCCTGGGTTTAATTGAGAAAGTAATTACGGCCGCCTTACAGATACCTGGCTGGTTTCTCGTCTCTTCCTTTTTTTTTCCTTCTACTCTCGACCTTCTCCTCCCTCGCCTTGCCTTCCCACTATTCTCTACCCCGGAATCATTGAATGGTGCAATGATATTGTAAAATGGGTGTTCATCCAAGAATGACGAGTCGGTGCCGAGGAACTGTATATTGGTCTGAGCTGTTGAAATCTTGTCGTCAAGTGCCTCTGCGACGTTGGGAAGACGGAGGAAATAATGTTGGCGGTGTTGTTTTTTTTTATTTTTTTTTCCTACCATTTTTTTCCATCCCCCCCCCTCGCCGCTCTCCTGCTCTCTTTTTCAACGTTGGATTTTTCTCCTTTTTCATCCTCCATTCACTGGTTCACCCGGGCTGTACAGTACTTATGGTACCTATAAAACGGATAATGCACCACAGAGGCCCACGAACTGCTATACCCGAAGCTATAGATAATTTATTTAATTGCTAGATATTATTAATAATTCGTCTCGTTCCGCTGCAACGACGAGCGATCATTGTCGTGAAAGATGTATTTACTGTATAAATGCACGATACGTCAAAGAAATAATAGGAATGAAAATGAGATTTAAAAAAAAGTATTAACAGTATACGACATCGAGGTATTTTGATCGTGAGAAACCTAGTGGAATTATATATACAGGGTGCGTGTAAAAAAAAAATGATTTACCCAGAACGCACTGCACGTTATTTTCGATCCAACGAAAATAGATAATAGCCTCGTGAAAAATGTTTTTACTCGTACACGTGTGGAAGGACGACAGTGCAGATTATGAAAGGCACTGTATAACGATCTAAATATGAATCTACCTGTACGTCCAATAGCATCACGCACAGTCCAAGAATATCCGGAAAGCGAATTTCTCTACAGCGCGTAGCGACGACCGATTTAGAAATCGCGAGTCGTGAAACGATCTGTATAGAGTCGCGGGCACGTTCCCTTCCGTCGGGCCGTTTGAAAATGAAAATAAATTTTCAAAATGCAAAACGTCCTTTGAGCCCACTCCTTCGATGATAATATAGAATTAAATCGGAATAAACAAACACTGATCTGCCGTGTCGTCAAATATGAAACGCCCTGTAGCTAGTACTGTACTTCGGTATTACAAATATCGTACGTTCGTCTTATCTAAGAATATCCAAGAAGATAATTTTTAATCACAGCGCATCCGTAGACGATACCGCGTACGTATACGACGGACCATTATTCTTGAAACGTACTGTATCGCTTGGGTTACGAGTTCCCATCCGTCGCGACGCACCACGCGTTACCTAATAACGCTCGGAAACGCAATTACATTACAGAGCGGCTTCGCCGGGTGGCCACGTAACGAAAAATCAAATTATGAAACGACCTGTAGGTAGAAGGTTGCAAGTACATTGGATATACCGTAACGTCCGTACCGATGCGTTACCTAAGAATACGCGTAAGAAGATATATACCACCCACCCACCCCCTCCACCTCTCCTCCCTTCACCCCGTTTTTACGTAAATCTGTAAATTCTACGTGGGTGGAATTATTACGGCTTACCGGTGCAACGTGGAAATGCACTTGCATCTGCACTTGGGAACTCCGTGAATATATATATATATATATATATATATATGGCTGTATTTATATTATGTAAGAATAGCCAAACAAATTTTTATCCACTAAGACTGCACCGGGATCTGCTATTCCGTCTATGCAACATGTCTATCGTTTGTAAATATCTATATACACGCTGCTGAGTCAGAGTGCGTGTGCCCGATAGACGCACTTACGTTGGCACGCATGTGCGTACGCACGTAAGAGACTACACGCACCGCGTATGTGGCTGAGAGTCGAGCGCAATTCGCTGGTGTTACCTAAGAATCTATATAGGCGCTTATAGCTGGTACATTGGTAGTATAAATGTATACAGGTATATCTGGCACCCACATGTCCAGCGTGTGACTGTGCGTATGCGTATAGGCCTCGGCAAAAGTACTCATGGCCTTCCGCGCCACCTGGCCGAACACGTCTATACTTTTTCTATTGCAAAGAATCAAACGTGCCATCTCGTTGAGACACAGTCGGCTTTTTTTTTTAATACTTGGATTACGTCATTGGCTTCGTAGGGACAAGCGTGTCTCGATGATTTCAGAGGGATTGGGTTATCTTGGGATATGTCGTTTGCGTTAGGCTGTATACGGTTTAATTTGAGAAGGAATAATTTATTTGCTCGGTTATGCAATGGCGTATACAATGCGGATCTTTTGGTGGGAGGTATTTGAGATAGAGGTTAAAAAAAATAGTCAAGGTAACATATTTTTTTTTATCTTTGGCAAATTTGGAATTCATGTTTCGTCGAGTGAATTATAGGATTTTTATTTGACGCTCTTTAGAACGGAGATCAGATTTTTTTTTCTAATCGATACACGTTTTTCGTGATTGGAACACATTTATTAATTTTTATGGGTAACTTCTTTTTTCGTTCTTCTTTTTTAAATGTCAATAAAACTCGTGTTGAAATTCTGTGATCGTATCCTTAAAATTTATGTCTGTGTAGTATGCTGGACATATAAGGACGGAGCTCTAAAATACGTTATCGTTCGTGGTATTATAAAAAGTGATATAATGAAAGAAAGGGATTGCCAAAAATTATTATTATCGAGATTGATGACGTGGAGGATTTTTTAAAAATTTTCAAAAATCGCAATAGCGAATGTACGATGAAATAATGTGTTGCACGAAGAAAGGGAAAAAAAACAATGCAGTGCCGGTACTTTCGGAATAATTTATACAGCTGCGTAAAACTTATAGTGCGTGCAACACTTTTACAGAGCGTCGCCGCCCTCTCCTTCCTCCCCCTCCCGTCGTCAGGACGCCGACTTTTTTTTGGTCCAACGACGCCTATGTCTGTATGATTCGCGAGATCCGCGAGAAAACGTGTGTGCGTGAGCGTTTCACACCTGACTACTACGCGAGTCAAGCGAGCGACTGTAAGAGCAACTTATTTTTAAATAATAAAATAAAATAATGTTTCTCGACATGACAATTACGTGCACGGTGTAAAATGAATTATCGTGTAAAAATTTTTCATATAAATCACGAAAAATTGATTTATTTTGTCGGTAAAGTCTGTCGTATACGGTAGGTTAGTTGACCGCGGGGCCGAGCGAGCGCTGAGCTGACAGTAGGCCGGCGACGTCACAGTGGGCCGGTTGAGCCTTCCTTCGTTCGATTCAGGCAGGCTCTCTATTCATTTTACATGTAGCAAGGTAAATATTTATATGCAGTGTCTATTTTAACCGTGCCCAGTGCGTGCATACGGCCGAGGACGCTGCATCGGCCAGCGCGAAATGTGATTTAAATGTCAGAAGAAGAAAATAGAAAATGAGGAAGGAGATGGAAAATAACGTAAAAACGAGAGGAAAGCACATACGTTACAGAGATAAAAGGAAGCAAGAACGAGTAGAGGAAGAGAAAATATTTATGGCTCGAAGAATAAAAGAATTATATGTACATACATATAATGATTAATAACGTCGTGTGAATTAAAGTTACGAAGCTACGTCCGTTTCGATTCGTGCGTGATACGCGCCTCGTTACACGCTTCCGGGATGATTTAAAATATCCATGAAGGATAACCTAGTGGGACACGCACTTCCTCGACACCATAAGGAACCAGAATTAGTCATCCTGGATGTACGAGAATTCTAACCTCCTTCATCGGAATACATCTCTGGCGATCTCTCTCCTGGCATTCTCTCCATCTCTCTTTCTCTCTCTCTCGGCTTCGTTTTGGTGGCTCAATCTCTAGAATTCCGTAGCCACCTACGGCTCTGAATATCTTGACAGCTTGACTCCCGCCAGGAACACACACTCCCTGTACACGTGAACCTCTTCGCCGTGGCTCTAGTTCTCGAGGCTTGTCTCCCGCGAAAAAGTTTGCTGTCGCTCTGTTCATTTAACGTCTATGTCTCCTCTCGTCTCTCGCCGATCAGTCGTGTTTTGTCGCGGAAGCCAACGTTCGCCGGCAGTGCGTATTTAACTTTTGGCACGCGTTTTTGAACCTTGAAGTGACACGCGTCGAATTTGTATCTCAGTCTCGTACCGGGGACAGTGTGCTCTACATAGATCACGCACGTTCTATACCAGTTCTGTTCGATTCTAGTGACTTTTATTGTGACGCGTTTCTTCGATCTTTTTTCTCCTTTTTTTTCCCTTCCCTATTCTACATCCGTATCTCTAGCCAAGAAATACATTCCAATGTCACCATTCCGAGTCTAGCCTAGTTCAGACGCTGTCTGTGTTTCCCTGTCATTTCGTCCTTGCCACACTGAAACGTCCGGACGGTGCACGCGTTCGGACACGTGTTCAACCATCTGCAGTAAACTTTTCCAGAGGATGATTTTCCTCGTCGTGAATGAGGATTCAGCCAGAAGAAAAAATCCGTACGTAAATTGCAAAGGTACAGAGTCTGTCTTGTTTTCCGTTTAAAAAAAACGTTTATTCTTTTTCGAGAAAACTTTTCCAAGAGAGAAACGACGGAGGAAGAGAGAAATGGATTTTTTCGTTTGAAAACGTGTCCCGACGGTGCGCGCTTTGTTATGACTACGAGGATCAGTCGCTCGAACGATGCGTAAATAAAAGTTTTAAGTGCGCATCGAGTCCAGTTGCCTTGATTTCGATCAACAGAGAATTTTCGTGTGGAAAAAAGTAAATCGACGGATCGAAAGAGAAAGAGAAAAGTGTACGAAGAGAGAGATTCTGAAATATTTACAAAGGAACGGAAAAAACGACGGTTGACAACCCGTCACGATGTTCAAGGAATAAATCAAAGATATGGAAACCGTACGAACAAGAGTCGTGAATGTTTTCTTACGAAGGTCTAACGGACGAAAAGGTTTTTAACGACAAAACAACGGACAACAGAGAATGGGAACATAACCTCTCACTAAAAAGCTGATCAGTGATTAGTAACCATTGACACCGGCCGGCCGGTATACTTGTACCCGATACACGTTCAAACACGAAAGGTGACCCCCATCTCTACGAGAGTAACAAATTTTTCACGAGAAAGAGATTTCCGAGGAAAGAATGTGAAAATATCTTGAGAAAAAGTGTTTTTTTTTTTAAACAGCCAAGTGCGTGTTCCCTAGACGAATCGTGGCGGCTGCAATCAGGCCGGTATACGAGAGCGTCACGTGTATGGACGTGAACGCAGAAAAACAATACGAGGGAGAGAGAGAGAGAGGGCGACTGATACATGCATATAAAATGGAGAAAGAAAGAAAATGATATGACGTAACGATACCAGGAAGACTATTGTTTTCCTGAGCAAAAATCGTCCCGACGATAGTCTGTCCGTAAGCGATAATCGGTATCGATTTCCTTTGGCTCCTTTTAAAAGGCCACCGGTTTCACATAAAGGTACATTTTTATCGGCCCTTTCTCGCATACCTACCTTGACGATCTGCATGACCGATCGACGGTGGAAACTGACCGGCGCTCGGTTCGCAACATATATATGTTATGTATGTACACTAGCGCGGCCCTGTTTCGCAAAACACGCGCCATGGACGTTTGACGTTTCACGAAGGTCGTGCAGCTCGCGGACGCACGTACGTACTTACGCACTTAGTCACCCACGCGAAACAAGCTACGATTTTCATCGTCTACGATCTCCGGTAAAACTGCAGAGTACGATTAATTCTTGAAGAGCTTCGCACAAAAAGAAAACGATCCACGTCTAACTTCAAGGAAAATTCGTATTCTGCAGTTTAGTCCGATCTCCCTATAACGATTTGCTATTATTGTTTTGTATATTTTAATAATTATCTCTGCGCTAAAATCGTCACGCTTCTCTATCGTTAAATTAATTCTTCCGAGGTGACCGTCTACATTGTTATCTGTTGCACAATTTTTCGTGATCTTGCAACGTGGATATCCGAGGAAGGCCTTTCGCGCCTAGTTTCTACGCTCCTGGCCATGTGGGCAAACTGTGCCTGATAACAATTGACGTTCCTACGACATTGTAGCCGCCAAATAATTATCTACGATTCATCGGCAATGATACCCAGAATGCAACGGGCTTGAGGGATATCTGTATGCGTTGTTGGGTATTTTTTTTTTTTTTTTTTTTTTTTTTTTTTTTTTTTTTTTTTTTTTTTTTTTTTTTTTTTTCGTAAATTTTTCCAACTCTCACGAGCCTCCCTGATTCTTTCCCGGGGGACTAAATTCTGCCTCCTGTGAATTCGCTTTAATATCAGTTGAAAGAAGTTGAGTGGGGAAACGCAAAGAGGGAGATCAGGGTGAGAATAGTTCTTGACACTGGAGTGGAAGGATTCTTCACGTTTCTCTTATCCCAGCGAGGATCTGATTGATGTACCATTTCTTCAGCATCGCGTTTCCCAGCTTCCCTTGCTCCTTTCAAAACGTTCTAACGAGCCGCATCGATCTGTAATTGCAATCGTGTCTGTATACGCGTACACGTACTACGACTATACATATATATAGAGTCTCATTATCTCAAGACAATTTGTTTACTGGCTTCTCGTAACTCTATAGGTATTTTCAATAACTATCAGCGACAAACCGCGTACATTGTAAATACGCATTTTATTGGAAAAAAAAAGAAAATTTCTTAACTCGAGAACAAAAAAATCTTTCGTAACGATCTTTCTGGACTTTCGAACTTAAACGTCCGTTAGCTTAGCCAGAGAGTGGTTATCTGGTAATGCGTGTCTATCAGTTCTAGCTCGTTCGCTGTAATTATTCTCTAGAAATATATCACTGTTAAATTCACATACTGAGCTACGGCTTATACACAGTATCATCCACGAACTTATTTTATACCATTTAAATAGCCCCGAGTCAGTCAGGCATTGTCTGTGCTCGGCCAAGCGTAACGCTTCGTTCGTTAGATTTCAGGAAAAATTCCTAAAGACCCGGTATCCGTGCTCGGCGCCTTAAGACTAGAGTTACGTTTCTTCCCGCTCGCAGCTGCCACTTTGGCGCGCGATTCGCCACTGTCGTAACGTCGAAGCCGCGATCGTTGGGAAATGCCGGTTTTCACTGGGTTCTACAGGCTCGTCCGTAGGCTGGTTGCTATAATGTAGTCATAGGTAAATATACCTGAATAGGCACAATATATAGATATACATACAAGTGATATACGAAATTCGTTCCAGTCGCGTCACGCCGAATGGCACGAGGGTAAAAGAAATCGCGACTAGTCGCCTCATGGAAATTCACGGAGCGGCGATTCAGGCTTTAAGGCTGATTCGCGCAATCGCGTCCCACGACGTTTTATCGCGACATGCCAAAGGACTTTTATTGGAATTCAGCGAGTCGTCTTAATACACCGTTACGTATGCGCTTACGGGTGAGTTTACATGATACATTTTTTTTTTCCCTTCTCGCAGCGACATCGTCTCTCAGACCGAATCCTTCAATGTCAAACCGTACGTACGTTCCGTACAATAATTCGTAATCCGTTCGTTATCGTCAGTCGCCTTATCCTCATCAGGTGCAACAGTCATTTATCTCGGTCGATCGCAAGGATAGTTGGTCCAGTGACGAAAACTACGGTCACACGAATGAAATCTTTTCGAAAAATTATTTTTTCCAGAAATCTAATCGCCGATACTTTTTACACGTTATCCGACAGGGTCGCGCGTGCTATTCGCTTTGGCGAAATTAGGCGTCATTCACAACGGACGGTACGCAATCATCGCAATATCCCAGTCGTAATTAGCCTACGTGAGCTGAACTGCCGTAACGACACGCGTGAGCGGCAGCTTTGTACATTTTTTTTAATAATTTTTTTTCTCCCTCTCGCTCTTACCTTCTGTCGCCCACTGTTCTCTCTCTCTCTCTCTCTCTCTCTCTCTCTCTCTCTCTCTCGCTCCGTTCCTTTTTTTACTTTACTTATTTCTCTCTCACTCGCACCCGCTTCGTCCGCTCTACACCTCTCTCGCTCTATCTCCTTGGCTCAGTCCTTCCCCACACGACTGACTCGCTCGCTGCTATTCATCGGCATTAAAATCGATACGTCCCATTAAATGCCGGCAATGCATTTGGAGCACGCGAAACGTGTGTTCGTAAAATAGAAAAAAAAAGCCCTTTAATTAGTCGCGAAACTCTGTCATTAATCCAGGGGAATTCGGACAAGCATGCGTTCGCTACGCGGATATCTGCCAACGTGCTCCGGTCCGGTTCCACGTTCCTCCGGTCTAATGCTATTCGTTCCTATCATCTCGCATAGGGTTATCCGTGCGATTTACATTATACCCATAGGCCACTTCCTTTTACTCTATGTCGCTTATCGCTTAGCAACTTTTTTAATCGCCGTTCGCGCCGTCTATAAATACGTATTGCCTATCTTCCTGATAATGAGTCCTTCCCTCTTCAACTTCATCCCCTGTCTATACGACGTGCCCCATACGTGACCTGCTCTACCGTTTAACCTCGTATCGTTCAGAGAATCATAGCGATTAGGGATGAAAGAGGGTCGAGAATGGCACAAGGGGCTGGGACTGTAACACCGGGAAAAATTGTGTAAGCACGGGAATTATTTTTATGAGTTAATTGAAAAAAAAATAATTTTTTTATTTTCACGTGGTTAATAATTTTATGATTTTTTTTTTTTTTTGGAGTTTTGACTTTTCAATTTTTTATACCATTTTCAAAGTATATCCCGTCAATGGGTCGATGATCTTAACATTTGTTGTCACTAGCGTTTATACATGCTGTATATACGTATATACTGAGAGTATGCGTACAATGTATTGTTCGATCCCTTGAAAATTACAAGACTCGATATGGGCGAATCAAGGTGAACTGACGTCCTATTGAAATTCGTTGCGTTATCTCCGTATCGTGATTAAGTACTCGCGTATCGGGTTTATCGAGCGCGTTAATTATCAAAGTAATTATTAGCCGGTCAAAATAGCGCTCCCAAATCGGCCAATCTAATTGAACGGACTTTCCTCCGGGGGCAAAAGGCGGAAAATTGCGGATAATCGGGAATGGCCTAAAAGGATTTTCGTTTCGTAGTCAAGTAGATGGGAGATAAAAAAGTGGGTGGGTCGGAGGCAAAGAAACGTCACTAGCGACCTACAGATGGGTCTCCTGGTGGTCCTATTTTTTGAGAAACTTGAAAATTTTCTTATCACCAATCACAGTGGCTGTACTGACTGGTTCGTATGGAAGTTACCGGCTGAAGTTGATTGGGAACAAAAAAAGTGAGGCAATCGAAGGAATATACGATGAAAATATATAAGGGGGTGAAAAAGAGGGTGTAAGGGTATATGGAAATAAAAGTTCATACAAAGTTTGGTAATTCGATGCCTCCCGGGCAAATACCCGATTTACTGTCAATGGTATTGGTACCATGTCAATAGCAAATAAATATGGGGTCGGATGATCGAGCGAGATTGGTCCACTCGATGCGATTGAAAGGGCTAC